CCCCCCCCCCCCACCCCCACCCACCCCCACCCCCACACCCCCACCCCCACCCACACCCACACCCACACCCACACCCACACCCTCGTGTTGAAAACATTTTCTGCAATATGATTGGCTAGAAGCTTTCTCCTCTCGACCAATCAGATTTTGGCAAGGCTTTCCTCACTATTGTAAGGACAAAACACAGCGTTATCTGCACCAAGCAGAGAGAGTTAGAAGAAGTCCTCTTTCATATGGCTCAAACAATACCATATTTTGTCCTTATAATAGTGAAGAGAAGTCTTCCTGAAAAATAGTCTGTTCCTAGTGAGATTCTCAAGCCCCCAAAATTCGAAAAACCATCTTGCAGTTGCGATTCCTCGACCTCAAGAAGCTTTGATCAAACTCTATCAAATATTGTTATTTTCAAGAAATACCCGTTGTCTAATGGAAATCTCCAGTCCAGAAATTTTGAGAGCCATCATTGGAAATATCTACCTCAACTCTAAAAATCTCTGATCAAACTTTATTTGAGAAATAGCCTTTCTTTTATAAAGTCAGAAATTTTGCGTTACTGCCAGCATTACTGGGTAACGGGCAGTTACCGTTATGTAGTAACGGATAACGACATTGTTACCAACTACTTGGTAACATAGCGGCAACTTCTCTCCAATATCAACAACATTGCATGAATAATCTACGATAGCATCATATCTTTCACTTTATATACAAATAGCGTGTGGTGAATTGGCATTAATAATATTTCAATATTTTTTCTTCCGACTGTTTTCAGTTCTAATGTCTTTTGTTTCCATCAAATTCGTTAAGACCATCTTTTCTTAAATATTTATATCTCAGGTTATAGAGGAAAAAAAGAACCTCATTTTGATATACAAATCGACTAAACCTAAGAATCAATGAGTGGAGTAATTACTATTGAAACACTACTTTAGTGCTTTTTAGAGAATTTTTTATGGATAAAAGGAAAGTGCCGCTCTTAAAACCTATCCATATAAGATTGTTTTCAATTATCATCAACTACAATCCTTAGAATATACGACAATTTAACCTTTCATACAATATCATGAATACTAGGGACGTGTTGAACCGTGCACGTGATAAGAAACGTAATTGAACAACGATATACTTATTTTCATCATTATTTTTTCATTCAATATCATGTTTTTTCTTTCTTGTAGTTAGAAAAAAACTACAAGAAGTATTGATTTTAAGAAATTTTTAATTAGCAAAAAATAGATTAAAAACAGGAGTTTTTGCTGTTTTTCTTACATAGCTATTGCAACAATTGGCAGATCGTTTTAATGTTTGCTCGTTACAGCACTCGCTATCGATCTAATGTGATGCGCCATTTCTTGAAGCGTTAATTTTGAAATACGTTTACCATACGACGTTAACTTGTTGTTCGGCAAATTTTAAGATTATTCGAAAAAGAATCTGATTAGAAAAATAAGTACAATTTGTCAGCTACGAGATGAAGCTGGCATGTCACAAGACGTACCGCACTTGGGGATGCTGCAAAAGAACAGTGATAAAAAAGGGTAAGTTAATCAGAAATGACCTAACCCAATCGCAAGACTCTTTGATAGCTGCTAAACGATCATACTTCTCCCGTGATAAATTATCTCGCCAACGATTCTCCAATATCAAACAGATGCGCAAAATAATGACAAGAACCAAACTAGCCGCCACCATTCCAATATAAATAAAATCGTTACGTTGATTGGTTGACTCATCATAATACATCTACAAAGAAAGAAAAATAGTTGTGAATTTAGCAATAGTAGCAACAGTCTGACAAAAGGCAATATAATTCCACCAATTTGACCAATACCCACAACGAAGCCGATAGCAATGGATCTCTTGGTATACCCGCCCACATTATTTGTTAGCCAAGAGAGTAACAAAGGATATGCCGAGGATATGCCACAACAAACAATACAAATACTGACATATCGTGCCGCTTGACCTCGATCGATCAGAGTAAGCATAAGAATAAAGCCGACTAGAGTAATAGATAGACAAAACATGAGATGAAAGCCGTGCTCATTTCTAGTCGACGACGAATAACTAACCAATAAACAACACACAAATGCGAAAACGTAAGGTGGTGCTGTCATTAAATGTACTTCAGCTTTCGAATTTCCCATATCTTCGACAAGTAACGGAAGATACGTATTTATATATTTGATCACACTCAAAATACCAATATCAATTAGTGCATATAAATAGATTCGCCAATCGACAAAAACATAAAATGCTTGTCGCCATGAAAGTCGACCATTTTCATCATTAGCTATCCCTGCATCGTGTCGGAGAAGATTTGTCAAAAGCTGTTTTTCACTGTTATTCAACCCTTAATTTTTAAAATAAACCAGTTAAGAATATTTCTTACTATCCTATGAACTCTTACATTGTACAGTATCGGGTATATTGCTGAGAAAAAGACAGGTTATGATACTGAGAGGAATCATCGGCAAACCTTCAAGCAAAAACATCCACTGCCAACTATTCAGACCACGAGTACCATCCAGATGTGTGAAACCATACGCCTAAATTTAAAATAAATATCACGTAGGTTATGAAATGGATGAGTGCATACCAGAATACCACTCAAAGCACTGGAAATGATGGCAGCTCCAAAAAGAATAGCTATTCTCATAGTTTGGTCTCTTTTACGATACCATAATGAGAAATATATGACAATACTGGGAAAAAAGCCTGCTTGAGTCATGCCCTTCCACGAAAAGCCAAAGATATTTTGTTATTCGTATAAATTTGATTCACTTACGAGAAGAAATTGAACAGATAGTAGTTCTTGAGCATTTCTTACGAAAGCCAAACCGACAGTGATACTACCCCATGCAAGCATACTCAATGATAAATAACGAGTCGCACCAAGATAACGCATGAGAATATTGCTAGGGATTGCGAAGATCAACTTAAACAAAGTATCCATTCAAAAATATTGCAGTTCAGTAACGTAATTTTCTTACATAAGCCAGAAAAAAGAGTGAAATATCCCAATTACTCTGAGATTGTGACAAATTCAGATCGCTTTCGATGCCCATCAGTTTCGTATGACCTAGAAGACCATCATCAACAATGGATGATTCAAGTCAAAGTTGCCTACCAGTACTGATTCGGTTCATGTATGATATCACTTCAATGAGAACCATAAATGGAATGAGCCGCCAGTTAAGCTTTCGAACAAGGCGACGAACGGCGATTTCTTCGAATTGTTGCTGAACTGCTTCATCAATAACGAAGATGTTATCCATTGCCATCTTAGCTATCGGTATCCTTTAGATACTCATCGACGCAACAGTTACACTCAAAGTGAGCAATACGTGGCTATTAGTAATAAATATGACAATATTTTTTTTCGTACAAATATACAGCATATTTTTCTTTTTTTCTCTTCTTTAGAAAGCGCCGCAAATAGGGGCTGTCATGTGTAAGATGAAAGAAAAGGCTAAAAAATTCATCCAGGGGAGGAAAGTTATCGTTCCCGCTCAGTTACGTTATCAGGTAACCGGTAACGGACCCGTTACTAATGTCGGATTTTTTTTAAATAGGTGTGGATGTGGGTGTGGATGTGGATAGCACTGTAGGTGTGGGTGTGTGGATGGCTATATGGAAGATAATAATATCCACATCCACACCCGCACCTATACAAGCACCCTCACCAACACCCACAGCAACACCCTCACTTCGCCCCCACACTCACATCCATACCCACACTCACACACCCACACCTTTGCTATGTCAGCCACTTAAAAATGAGATTCGTGTTGTGTACCACTATAATTATCAGTAAAGTCTAGGCAATTCAAAGAGCATTCTACTTGGCATGACTTGTGGTTGGACTATTTTACGTGGAAGAACTGTAGCAATCAAGATTACTAATCGCATATGCTCAGTATCTTCAATCGAACTTCCTTGACACAGATTTCTGGCAATTGAAATGCCCTATTTCTATATCGCGTCAGGTTTTCTCGTTAGTAGTTACTCTGGACTTGCAGCTTGAATTTGATCACTAGTCTAATAATGTTAGAAATTAAACGTATTTACGTATTGAGTAATATTGGAGTGTGCGAGTTTGTTTTGTGTGTTTGTAATCAATTTTGCTTCGTATTTATTATTGACGAAATTACTTCGTTTTTCCCAACTTAAACATACTTATGTGAATCAGCGAAGCGTGACATTTTGATCAAGTGGGTAGTGCTTTTTCATCAGAGTGCTCATCGTCGCATCCATTTCGTTCTTTCACCATTCTCTTCTTTTTGACTTTCCTTTACATGTGCTGTCGTTACGATGAAAAAATATACACTGATAATTACATACGCGATCGCATTACAATTAAATGTGAAAAGGACATGTTGCAATAAGGCCATTTTTTGTCCACGATTATTTTCGCTTTTATCTATCTGAGAAGTATCAAGGAGCCACTAGAAGTGTTTCCTACGACCGAGTTTTGGAATGTTCCAAAGTGAGGCTTTCCTTGTGAAGTATCCTCAGAATTCGAAAAAAAATTCTTTCCTCAAATAGCTTCAGCAGCACATCATTTATATGCAGTTTTGCCTACTGATTACGAATATCAAATTTATATTTCGCTTCGGTTGAGCTTTATATATGGCAAAGCCTTTCACCGCTAAATGGCCTATAGAGCTATTGCCCCATACATAAGTCTATTTATATATGAAAACATTGTTTTTTTCTTTTCGAAATGTGCTAAAATATGTGAAGATATTCGTCCTACTCATTTCCGGTAGATTCAGTTATAAAAATAATCGCTAAGCAATCGAAATGTTTCGTGCAATTAGAAATATAGCACCAAAAGCCATGATTCCCCATTTAGTGTGACCCTTCAGCACTAGAGGTGTCATATTTCACTTACTATTCCTGGTAAGTGGTAAGTAGCACTCACTGGTAAGTAGTAATAGTGACCGATATCGCTAATTAGTTAGTAGATAAAAGATAAATATTAGTTCCAGATAAACAGTTTGTGTTTAACTGAAGGTAGGGTATATATTATATTTTATCAATTCTTTGTCAAATTGTGTGTACTTCATTTATGCATCGGCAAGTATGACGCCACTCAGATGAGAGAAAACAAATAGTATGAAGAAGAGTTAACAGTCTTCCAAGACGGTCGACCGAACTTAGAATCATTAATCTTTCGCAAGAAGATCTAATGTACCCACTAAACAGTAGTCTTATGACGTTCCGAAAAGTACACAAACACTTCAATTTGTCATCGTTTAGTAAACATCTTCTTGTTCGAAGTCGTCAAAAATACATTTCAATGAAGCTTAATAGGTTTTTCATTTATTTTAGCCTTTGAGAATGATGGTACATGCATTGAGCTACTCATCTTTTGGTAGAGAAGGAATTGTTTGTCCTCCAATAAACTGTATACTGTCATTGTCGAAGTCTCTTTACTGTAAATTGAAGCAGAAAAAAGCCTACTTGAAATAAAAACAAGAGATTGTGATGAACTTGCATCCCAGCCAATAGCATGTTTAGGTCTCGTGCGAACTTGTCGAGCTGAAAAGGTTTCAAAGGTTCATATAGAATTCTACAAGATGTTATCTCTAGAGACAAGTCTACTACTATATTAATTCTATTTTACAGCGTAGAAGACTCCTTGTTTTTGAAAAAAGACGAATAAGAGTTATCTTAATCTGATCTTCTTTTGGTGACCAAATTCATGTGCAAACATAGAAATGAAGAAAATGAGTCCAAAATATCATAAAAGAAACTCAAATTAGATTAAAAAAGGCTTGTTATGCACTGTAGCGTTTTTTCTAAACATGAGAATTATGTTTTTTCAAAATAAAGTTTTCACATAATCACATTGACACACATACAACAAAATGATTGAAAGATTACTTTTTGATTGTAGAATAACCCCGATCTGAAAAAGCTCAAAAAGAAATGAATATCACTTTATAAATCTTTTTCAGTCGTACTTTTTGCTAAGATACACTTTTGCGATATCTTTCTAAAGAGAATTTTATCATTGAATCTATTTGAAAAAGGTTAAATAATAGTGTTCAATTGTCGAGGCTTAGAAGGTTATTTTTGATAACTATTTATTTAGACAGTGCACACAGTTGTCACTATCAGAAAAAAACAGATGCTTGCTACCAGAATGTTTCCTTTTTCGGCTACAAAAGTCAGTCAAATCGACTTTAATCAGTATTTTACAGTAGATAAAACACTCTTGTTTCTTATGCAGGACATTCAATGATGAAAATTAAACACGAAACAATTATTGAAACTTTTTTCTATTGGCAAACATTGAATAAAAAGAATGGCAAAACAAGTAATGAAGTTTTCTAACTTTCGTTGATTCTTGTGAACAAATGTCAAGCACGAAGAACTTGTAATGATTTCGAGAAAAGCGCTTGTTAAATGTAAAGTAGCCTTAAATCTAATTCAACAATCCAATACTTCATTATTTCTTGTCTCTCTATACCGTTCTTATTGTTCTTCTCCAATGCACCCATGAACTTATAATTAAATACATGATGCTAAAAGTCATTTTTAGGTTTTCTCAATCTTTGAAGATATTGACGCTATCGATTAGCTAGATGGAAACCCTTTCATATGCATAACACGATGTACTGACTGTACTCGAAGTATGAATACTTCATATTAGTAAACTTGTCACTAATCATGTTGTATCAGATTAAGCTAGTTCTTTGTTCGCTTGTTGCTTATTCGCATTCACTTCAAATAATATCAAATATTGAGCGGTAATGCATTTACTCGATAGTCAATCTGTCTTCGCAAGAAAACAATCATCATGAATGCTAAGATATATTGCATTTTTCTGAACAAACTGTCCACTCTCCATACTATTTCAAAACTTTCCACAGCTTTTCATCATTATTCTCATTAATATTATCTTATGTATTATCTCATAAAAATGTTTA